CTGCGTTATTGAAAGGCTTCAGTCATCGGATAAAAAGGAGTTTTCCCCAAGCGTCTTAAACAGACACAGTACTCGTTCCGTATCTCAGGGAACCGAGGTTACGTTAGTAACCGAGTATGTTTTTTTTTTTGCAGGATGGTTATATTTTTTTTCATGTTCCCTATTTTCCAACATTATGGACCCAATTTTCATATAATGAGATACTTGAGTGTGGCAGTGACTGAAATTACCTGTAGTGATTGTTTCAGGAAAATGCATGTTATGACTGAAGTGTAATATATTTGTTTTTCCTATTTTTGATCTGCAAGTTTCCAGCTCTCACAACAACGCTGCTGTCTGGCGCATTAAAACCCAATCCTGTGAGGTTCACATGATCCTGATAATATTGGTTCAAAACCTGAGTGTGATGTGCTCAGGTCTCCTGAGATCAGAGGAGTCAATGCCCAGAATCCAGCTGTCTGCTCTTTCATTCAGACACATGTACAGCCCTGCAGACACAAAACTCCACAACCAACAGCTGAAAAGTGAGCAGACTTTGGTGTTTTACCAACATTGTGTTTGGAAGGACTTGCAGAAAATGTCTGGTATCGCAGCTATTTGAGGAAATTGCTTTGCATCCTTCAGAAAGTTCAGAGAGGACAGCTGCCGAATGCACATTGAATATTTTGTGATGGCATGCCAAACAACAGGCCAATTTTATCAATGTACCGTGAGAAAACTGATAACTGATTTCACACCATTCTTATTCTATTGAAGAAAAATGTACCCAAAAAAGAAAATTTGCTGAAAATATACTCACGGTCAGGCCTTCCAAGATGTAGATGAGTTTGTTTCTTCATCAGATTTGGAGAAATGTAGCATTACATCACTTGCTCAGCAATGGATCCTCGGCAGTGAATGGGTGCCGTCAGAATGAGAGTCCAAACAGCTGATAAAAACATCACAATAATCCACAAGCAATCCACACCACTCCAGTCCATCAATTAACATCTTGTGAAGTGAAAAGCTGCGTGTTTGTGAGGAACAAATCCATCATTAGCACATCTTAAATTTAAACTGTTTCTTCTGGCCAACATATGAATCCATAACCCATAATAACACTTCCTCCAGTGATTAAATCCATTCTCTGTTGTCACATCACAGTTCATGACATATTTGTTTAGAACTGTTTACACTATTTTCATTTATAAATGGTGCGTGATCTGTGCATATTTCTCTCCTCATTCAGACAAGACATATCATGGATAAAGAACAAGTTTGAAGTTAAAAACGGCTTAATTATGGATTTTAGTTTTTTACAAACATGCAGCTTTTCGCTTCACATAACATTAATTTATGTACTGGAGTGGTGTGGATTACTTGTGGATTATTGTGATGTTTTTATCAGCTGTTTGGACTCTCATTCTGACGGCACCCATTCAGGATCCATTGGTGAGCAAGTGATGCAATGCTACATTTATCCAAATCTGTTCTGATGAAGAAAGAAACTCATTTACTTCTTGGATGGGCTGACGGTGAGTATTTTTGGCTGAACTATTCCTATAATTAAATCATTTTAAATAATCCACTAACAGGTTAAATTGCTGTGCTTAAACCACTTATTTAAAGACTCCCGAATTCCAGAAAACATAATCTTCATTGCATTGATAACACAGCATGGTGCATATGGTGATGGAGATACAGCATGTGGGTGAAGCCACGCTGAACGAAGCACACAGTGAGACCTGCTCTTTTGACCACAGGTCTGTTTTTTCCATAAATAATGAAAGCTATGCACAAGAAAAATGGGTGCACCTTATCTCCTCGAAAATATAAAACGCAGATGGAGCCAGAGCAATCAGCACCCAGTGCATTTCCCATGCATCCACACTTCTTCTGAGCGGGTCCAACAGTGCATTTCTACATCCAACGAGCACATTATTACTATCTAGGAAAAGTGCTTCATCCTCTAGGGTATGATAAATCCATTCCACCCTGGACTCCATACGCTTTTTACTGATTAGGTGAGAATATGAGGAATGTTAAGCCAGGCTCCCTCTCTTTCTTTTCGCCATTCCATTCAGGACATTCCCAAGAGTAATATTCTGATGTTTATGAGCCTAAAATGACTTCAAAGTGTCGTAGTTATTAATTTCTGTCACGTTATGACTGATTTTTCCCACTGAAATCTGATTAATGAAAAACTGCAAGTTTAGAAATATCACAGGAAATGTGAAACACTCACAACAAAGATTAATGCTGAAACCTCTGTGTTTGGTGTCCTATTTCTTTCATTCTCAACATAATGTATGTTTTAAATGTGTGAAAACATTATTAGCACAAGGACTTCATTTCTGTTATGGGACAAACAAGACGTGAGATATACGGATCCATTTGCAAGCTTTATTAAGGGTGTGGTCAAATCAGGCGAGGGTCAGGCAATGGCAAACAGGTATAAAGTGGGAGAGTTCAGTAGTGGTTCCTTCGACCGTGACAAGACAAGCTGAAGATGCGTTGCTGGGTGCCACCACCGTGCAAGGAGCTGAGGCTAGCACCGCCACCTCGAGAGGTTTTGCAGCATGGCTGCCACCTCTGGAGGAGCTACAGCGGGCGCCATCGCCTCGGGGAACATGGCAGCGTGCGCCTCTACCTCGGAAGGATCTGCAGCATCAGCCGCCACCTCGGGAGACGGACGATCAGTTGTGACTTGACTTGACTCATGAAGATTAGCCGTGACTTGACTTGACTCATGAAGATCAGTTGTGATCCAACTTGACTCATGACAATCAACTGTGACTTGACTTGACTCATGATGATCAGTATTTCGATAACCACAATGGCATATAGTCAACGGTAACACTTGATTAGGGAACACTATTTATTATTAACTAGTTGCTTATTAACATGCATATTACTAGCATCTTAGCTGTAATGACTTATTCTGCATGACCATATTCTAGATCCCTTAACTCTACCCAATAGGGTTATAGGATCTACCCAGTGTTCGAACTATACCGTGGACTTTGGGAGAGCCCACTTGTTTTTTTTTTTTATAACGGGGGGGGTTCCTTATTTACTATTAATAAAGTAATTACACATTTATTGAGGGAAAACTCTTAATAGTGAATATGTGTTCAACTATATAATGAAGTAAGATTTTAACAGAAAGGCTCAAATTTTTATTTTTTGTAATTGTTATATATCTTAACAATTATTATATTATAAATATGAACAATTTTGTATGTATGTGTATATATATATATATATATATATAGTATGTGTGTGTGTGTGTGTGTGTGTGTGTGTATGTATATATATATATATATATATATATTATATATAT